TAAAGAAAAAATACTAAATTTTTGGCTATGGGGCTTCATCTATAAACCGCAATACAGTATGTTACATTACCTTTGTTAATGTCGGGGCAAGGTGACTGTTAAAATTTGCAACACGCATGGCTATGTAGACAGCACAGAGCATTGTAAATAGATCGTTGAATGCAACAAGCACTGCCCAGTACGTGTACGATATGAACTCGAAAACCTTGAGGGCAGCCTCCCAGAATGGCCTCTGGTCAACGAAATGCATCCGGGATGAACATACACGTGCTTGCAGTCATTTCTTTAATAAGGATTCACCATTACACAGTAAAAACAAAGAATAATGATTTTCTCGAGGAAAAGAGGGAAACTTTGAGGAACTCCGACAAATTAAAGAAAACTCCTCAAATTTTTAAAATAATTCATCAAACTATGAGAGTAGAATTTTTCAAAGTTTCTCCTGTTTCCTCAAAATATCAGACATTGTTTTTTCCGTCTACCTCAAACAGCGTATCGTCTAAATAGGCTTGAACCGACGTGTAGTTGCCGAATTCCATAATGTTCATGACTTCAGTAAACCTGTCGAAAACGTGTTCCACTGCAAACATGGCATCAAAAAAAATAATACGGTGACAGCACTTGGTTTACTTTAACTACCGACATTAGGCAGTAAGTACCGAGGGCACAGCCAAACACGCCGACGGTGACCAGCCACATCCTTCTGCCCACGCCCGCGGGATGCGCGTCGCCCACAGCGTTCTCCGAATGCTTTTCTATCCTCAAGAAAAGTAGAGAAAACTGTCTCCAGCGCATCCCGAGCATGAAGAACGAGATGCCGATGAAGCACAGGAACAACTGCAGCGTCACGTCCTCTGAGAAAGAAACGAGTGTTAATGTTGTTTGAGGCATCTAGCCCGACCTAGCCCCGCAGAGTGCGACGTACCGGCAATGGCCATGGCAGTGTCGCTTTGCACGGCGCTCATGTAGGTCCGCGCGAGGAACGCCAATATCACCAGGATGGCGTACACGGAACGAAACGACTTCCATCGAAACCTACGTAGAGAACGACAAAAGGGAGGCAAGCTTTGAGGGGAGCTCCAGGATTGTTTTGATCTGAAACACTGCAACATATTTGCGTATACACGTATACAAGTTTTCCACTCAGAAAAATAATCTGTTTCAAGCATATTTAAAGCAAGCCTAGAACTTTTTCTTTCAAGTAAAAATAATCTTATTAGAAAGGAATATGGATTGGAAATAGATCAATATTTCTTTCGAATAAGGTAATGTCCCTGATGGAACTCCTGGACAGGGTCTGGATAGGATCCCTATCCAGGATCAATCCACATTTTCTCATTTTGGACAGATCCTGGACAGACTAATCCTGTCCAAATGGCATCCAGTAGGCATCCTATCTGTCCTCGAGGCAGTCCGAGACGGGTCCGTGCGTGTCCGGGGGTGTCTCCAGAATTATCCGGGAGCGTCCAGGGTGCGTCCGGACGCATCCAAGA